TCAGGAAAAGAAATCTTGTTTTACATTCATCCTTCTAATATTCAATTTCTACTCAGTCTGATTGCTCGTAAGGACAATTGAGATAGATACCAAATAGAACAAAACATCAAATACACGAAACTGTATTAAACTATCGTTTTGTCTTTTTAGTTTTGATTCAATATTATACAATTAAGTTTTTATCACTATATAAAAATGAACATTAAACAAGCAAAAAAAAAAAGGGAAGAGATAGAAAATATATAAAATGTAGAATTCAAAAACAAAACAAGCAAGGGATAGAAGGAAAAAAAAACAAACTTAGAAAAATCTTCTGTTAACGTTATTCTTCAGAGAAGCATGTGATGGCATAGATGACTACTGTTCAGCAAAATTAGTATGTTTATTTAGCAGTCATGTAAGTATCTTAGTAATTTTTCTTATCACATTCTGAACTGTAAATATAACTTCTGAAGATTTCTTTGTAATAACAGACGTTGAAATTAGATGATAGAAAACATGTTTGTTAGATTTCTGAGGTATTCTCTGTTAGATGGTATATCTATCAAGTCACCAATTCTTTTTCCTACAATTCTTTGATAGAAATAGTCAAAAACCTTTTTCTTTGACATATCTTTCTTGTTAGCAGAAAATTATAACATAACTTGTAAAAAGGGTTTATTTCAACGAATCCAAACAATATCAACAAGTTAACATCATTCTAAGAGAGCTGAGATGTTATCCATTTTTTTTATCTCTTATTACACATTCTACTTTACCTTATAATAAAACTAACTTTTTTAAGATTTATTTTTTTGCATCTATATAACATAAGTAAAGTCCTTAATAGATAATAAGAACTATAACATTTTATGTATATAAGATTTAACATATGCAACGAAGAAAATGTTTTTTAGTAGCTTAACATAATAATAAATTTTATTGCTTTCATTATAATATAATCAATATAAGCTGCTCAAGATGAGTTATACGTTAATATGGTACCACGATAGTCATGGAACTTCTTTTAGCGATACATCGCTCATTAATACAACATAAATATGATTACATAGAAATATTGATAATGTCGTAGATTTCGCATTTAACCATGTTAAGCTTAAGTTTAACACTCAATATACCATTCAAAAATATATTTTAGATAATATGTTCTACTCTTATCTGATCACTATCAATATACAATAGATAATGTGTTATCAGCAGATAATTGATTTTCAGGTTAACTCTATGTTTCATCATCAAAATGACCTAGATCATCAATTTAGATCAAAGATAAATGAGATGTAAGAACTTCACCTTGTGATTGATTTAAAATCCATTTTTAAGTGTGTTAGAGAAAATATACCGTCAAGTAAAGTGCATATACTGGTGTCATCAAAACAATTTATATAAACTACCAGAAAATTCTTTAGATTGTAATTTGTATAATCATTTTGATCTACATTTTATCAAATGCTTCAGACATATCTAAAGGCATAGCTCAAATTTTATTTTGATTCTTGACTAGAAATGTGTTGGACAATTTCTGTTATTTCTAATATAGTCGAATTCTTTTTCCCAAGGGTAAATTATCGAAAAGTAGTTATACACGATTTTTTTTGTAGACTTCGAGATTTATCTCAACAAGCAATAAATAAACTAAGTTCTAGTAGTGTTTTTCCTGTTTTGATGGTGAAAAAATATGGGAGCACTTATCACCATCGAAGACCATTGCTCCGAGAATCTTTTTGGGAAGATTAGAAGAGTGTACATCATAACTTTCTTTCTTCTTTTGTCCTCAGTCAATATGTAAAGATGTAATAGGTTCGCCTCCTTCTTTTCATTATTTGTACTGAAGTTTTTCCCACTTCCTTCTCTCAAATAAAAGTTTATAACAACTTTCTTTCCCATTATTATACGTATTTACGGAAGAAGGAGAGGAGTCATAGAGAAGCAAATATTTATCAAAAAAACGAAAAACGAGGTTTTTCTGTTTGTAAGCAGGGAATGTCAAAGTTCATTATTGAGATTAGTATCTCAGTAAAAGATGCAGTTATTATCTAAAAATACGTTCAGAATATAACACTGTAGCATATTGGCAAGAAAATTTTGTAGACTTCTAGAGGGACATATAAACAAAATCAAAAACCTAAACCAAAGGTTCAACAGAATGAATTTCTCTGAATCAAAGTATAGGTATTTTCAGATTTTTAATCAAAATAAATGTAATGTTAAGAAGAAGCCTATCAAGTTACATAGAACAATGTAAACAAAAATGGTTTTACAATCTCTATCCAAAGCAAACAATTCTACCCTCTTCACAGGCTTTTATACTATACTGGAGGCAAATTGTTCCAAAACAGAAATGTGAGAGTACATCTTTAAATTTGAGAAATTTTGACTTTGAAAGAATGGACTGGAGAGCGAAAACTGAAGCTTTCAGCGAGAAGCAGATATGAAAGAACGAGGGAGGAAGGCACACAAGAGAATAAAACGTTCTTCCTCACTTCTATACACTTTGAAAGAAGCGTGGTTTAAGCTTCTAGAGAGTGGAATTTATTCAATATTAACAAGTTCGTCCAGTAACTTTGAATGATATTCACCTTTCTTTGACAATCTAGAAATCAAACTACAAACTAATGTTTTGAAATCAAACGAAAAATACACGCATGGCGGGAAACTAGTACAGAATAGAAAAATAATGGTCTGATCTTGAAATCTGTAATACGAATTGGTTCTAGGTCTTTTGGAAAATAATTAGTTACTCTTCATTTTTATGTCGATAGACATTTTGGATTTGTTCAAGGATTTCTGTATTTTGTTTTTTTTGTTTAGTCATCGGTTTTGCAAAAAGCCAGTCGTATGATCTAGAGAACTACGTAACGTAGAGATATTCTGAAAACGGGAGATAGTTCTCTGGGTACGGAATGTGGACCATGTGTTCTTTTCTTAAACAACCGTCCAGATTCGGCGAGATAAGTTCCAGAACTGGAAGAAAAATGTGTCTTGGACTTCGAACTTTTTAATTATTATTAGTTATCCGGCGCCACATTTGTTTTATTTGTAGATAGAATTGAGAAATGAATGTGTACATATCTTCTAACTAGTAAATTTCTGTTTCCACATACATGCATTTAATAAAAGGTATACTAAGTGATTACCAGTTCTTTAAAACATAGAAGACACACCGAAGAATGATTTTAAAAATTTATTCATTGATTGTTGAAACGGTTTAGAATAATCACAATAAGAAGAAAAAAGGACCGATAATTACTCCGCCGAAACTGCTACAAATCTCTTTATAATATCTACAGATTCTTATTCTTTATGTATTTGGCAAAATGACGGTTTACTCTGGTGTTATGTCATCTAAGCACATAGCCTCACAAGTGTGCTGGTTTTCTTGCTGATTGCTACTGTGAAAAGTTACCGCTTAAACATGTGCCGTAATGTTCGATAGTTGGAAGTGTCCTGAAAATGCTCGGCGATTTTCAAAGAGTACATATGGGAATTCCCCGAGGATCTTCCAGTTTATAGAAAATCGAATTTCCCACAATCTAGAAAACCCTCCTCGATTTTCCAGTTTGTTAGAAAATCGCCATTGAATTTCCATAAATAATTTTCATGAAAGTAGAAATTACTTTTTGACTTTCTATAAACTGGAAATTCCTTGGCGGGTGTGCACCGAGTGGCAGCGCGACCAGGTTGTGTGGGGGTTGACGCCGCTCATGCTTTTGAGAAATTTCTGGTGAACGTCTCCGATTTTCGGACCTTCCTACCAAAACTTTGTGCCACCACTGTCTCGGCCTAAATCAAAATTCTTGCTGGCATAGGCAGAATTATGATCTTAAGTAGAAACTGTCAAAGTTGATTTAGGTATAATATGAGTGTTTTTACGTGACGCTTTTATACCCACACTAATTGCAAAACAAAACGATGAATAAGTATTTGGTCTAGAAATTCCTGGACGAATTTCCACTTTCTAGAAAATCGCCGAGGATTTTCTAGTTTATAGAAATTCCTCAACGAATTTCCAGCTTTCTGGGAAATGTTGATTTTCTACTTTATAGAAAATCGACTTGATTTTCCGTAAATTCGATTTTCTATAAAGGTGGAGAATCGCTGAGGATTTTCTAGTTTATAGAAAATCAAAATCGAATTCTTGAAAATTATCTATAGAAATTCCATTGATTTTCTATAAACTAGAAAATTCTCAGCGATTCTCCACCTTTATAGAAAATCGACTTCATCCTCTCATAAAACTTCATTGAGAATAAATTTAAAGATTAAACATCACCAAAACAGTTCGGGTAACATGTGAAGCCTTTATTCTTAATCTTCTCTAACAGGCTGCTTTTTCGTCTAATGATAAGCTTGAAGAGTAAATACTTATTACATTTAAGAGTGTTTGAAATGCTCTTTCGACTGATATATACTATGGTTCTGTTTTATTTAGTTTTCATGGAAAAATCATAGTTTGTCTGATCGCAGATAGAACATCAACCAGTTAGTATTAATTACCAATTTTGAAGGTAATAAATAAATTCTTTTTCAATTTCTAAAGTGAATCTCAAATTTCTATTCAATTTTGTACTAATTGGTATAAAAGTAAAATGTAATCTTAGTCAGTCTCTACGTGTAGTGATCCATTTGCTGAAAGGGCTAAGTATGACACGAAAGAAAAATTTGTTTGATGCACGTTGTGTAGATCAGACTTTGCTCTTTCAAACAGAATATTTGCAACATGATAAAACAGCGTTTGACATTTGTTGTAAAACTTTTGTTGTTATACATACATCGTTAAGCTACTGCATTTAGCTAATATTAATCCTCTTGTCATCAGACGTCGACATTCATGATTTCTCTAGAAAGAGCAGAATATTAAAGCTAATGCCGTTCAATAAATAATGTCACAACTTTAAGCTTACCTCCGACCTTTAACTGAGATGGTTTTCGAAGACCATAGGGTGATAGACGTTTACATGCATAAAGACCCGCATCTTGTTTCGTTAAATTTTTAATTGTCAGTGTAGGACTGGGACGACATCAACATAATATTTATCCGGATTTGAATGTGTTGGTAAGAGTTTACCATCTTTTAACCATTGTGTTGTTCCATTGTATGTTGGATAACAAGTTAGACGATAATTTTCACCCACATAGGCTATATCGTTTAATGGACCATGGGCAGCTAAAGAGTGGAATGAATTATTTTCAATGCGCGCGTTTTCAATTAAGAACACAGAAACAGTTTCGAGCAATATCCTGAAAGTTGAGGCTATTTTAGAGTTGTTTAGAGATGTTTATAGAGGTTTCATGATTGAAGGATATTTCGTGAAAAAATCGAATTTGAAGAGAAATTTTCAGTTTAAAACAAATCTTTCCAGAATGTTCAACATGATCGATTACATAGATTTAGAGATGTTTTGTGGTTAGCATGCAAGTTCTCAGCAGCAAAACTTTTTCTTTCATCGCGTAAAACTGCAAGTCTCTCCCCATCAATTTACCTTTAACATTTAATGTAACTTTAACCGAAGATTTTTTATCTTTATTTTGACATACATATGTACCACGATCTGCCATAGACACATTCAATATTACTGTATAATTTTCTTGATTGTTATCGTCATTAACATGAGCTTTCAGAGTGCAACGTGCATAGTAAAATTGATGATGGTAAATGCAGATATCAGATTAAATTTACACAGAGGCTCTGACAGATCGTGCCAGAGTGAAGATGCTGAGTTGAACATATTTTAATACTAACGTTTACAATCACTATTATCATTATTAAAACGTTGAATACGATGGTTATCATAATCAACAACATACAAATGTCCATTAGAATCAAATTTTAATTGCTTCGGTACAGATAATTGATTGGATCGATAACCAGGACCAGCATCTTCAATTGCCACACGGAAGAAAAATTTAGCAAAGTTTAAAAGACGGAAAAAATACCCTTAACTGATTTTCGAACGTCTTTTGGCATTTTGTATACTATTTCATACTTAAACTTGGTGTCTTAGGTATGTAGGCTAGAATTTCCCTATAAAACAACAGCGTGAGAGCGATAGAGAGAAGCACCTACTTCCATGATTGTTAGACCAAACGTTGAATTCGATTTCCATAATTGTATATGATGATTGATGAATCAGCAATGTATAAATTTTGTTCGTTATCAACATATACGCCCGCGGGTCTATTGAACAATGTTGAGTTCAACTGGTAAAGGTTACCAGGTTCACTTTTCTTTATAGTATTTAAATCAAAGCGTTGTGTACAATTATTACCAGTATCAACCACATATAATTGCTCTTTTTTATCAATAAACATTCGTGATGGATATTGCAATTGTTTTTTTGATGTAACTAATGTTGCTGCTTTTTCGTCAACAATTACCGTTGATGTTTTATAATCTTTTGCCCTACGAACAGTACGATTGTTCCAATAGCCAGACAAATAGATTGTACCTTGTTGATCCAAACAAATATCTCGGCAATCAAAACAATGACTTTCCTTAGGATCCATGATAACTTCACTTGTTTCTTCATCCAATGAATATTTAATCACCTTAGGATTATCTTCTTTTTCTCACATATAAATATGACGTGTTTTCGCATCATAATACATGGATTGTGAATAAAAAACTCCAAATATCCGTTGATCTTTACCATCTTTCATCGAAAACATTCGAAAACGATGATTACCTTGATCAAGTACACAGATACGATTCTGTTTTTCATCAATAAATATGTTCTGCGGATATTGTAATTCAACTTCACCATCGCCACTATTGGCTGATTTACTTTTTCCTGCCACTGTAACATCGTTCTGTGATCATTTCGAACAATCTTTAACATTTTTATTGGACTCGAATAAATGAATTGTATCGAAGACTACAAAAAATAATGAGAATACTATGATAAACGATCACAAGGTTCTTTTGTTTTAAAAACATTGCTGTTAGGAGACACTTTTCCAAGACATGAGCAAGAACCAAGTTTTCTGGAAATGATCAGTTTCAACCTTCATTCGCCTATGTGTTTGTTATGTTGGTTCTACTTTGTATCTATCTGTTATCTTTCGTTCTATTCTAACCTTTCATGTCTTTTTCTTCACATATGACTTTCGTTCCTCTTCTTTTTCGTTTCTACCAGAGCCCTGCAGGTTGCCAATATTTGGCAACCTATAACCTAACCTATAAAAAATTTCACAACCTAATCCTAACCTAACCTATGAATTCGACAACCTAATCCTAACCTAACCATTGAAAAAAAAATAGAATAACCTATAATCTAACCTAGCCTATAGCTTTTGCAACCTAATCCTAACCTAACCTATAGGTTAGGTTAGGTTAGGTTAGGTTAGGATCAACCTGCAGGGCTCTGGTTTCTACTCTATAATAGGTATTATATCATCTTCTAGGTGACGATAACCTATACTTTGTATATAACATTTTTCCCACTATCGTTGCTTTGTTCTCAACGATATCACTTGGATATTTTCACAGATGTTGTGCGATTTTTCCGTTTATGTGGACTCTTGTTCAAAGTACTATATACAGAGATGTTTTCTAAAAGTGTGTGTGTGTGTGATATGTAGTAGTTAATTCATATTGAATACAAATAAAGTTTATTTGTGCGATTAACTTAATCAACCTAATACTACTTACCAAAAAGTGAAAGTAGCGCCAAAGATAGTCTTGTGAACATTGTTCCGCAAGAATAAATACGGAAACAAACGTTAATATATGTGCTGCATTGATAATATTCTGTTTTATTATTCCACCTAGTTTTTACTGCTTATAATCTTTATATCTATAGTAATTTAAGAATAGACAGAGAATGATAGGAAAATCTCCTTTCTTTCAATAACAAACAACAATATTTCTTCCGTACTTGATAAAAAAGTTTCGTCTTATCCTTGTCAAATGAAGAAACACATAGTACACTAATATATTCGAGAAGGAAACATGTTATCACTTGTCAGTTTGTCATTCGAAAAAAAGAAATTGGTACGATACGAGCAAAAAATCGAAAGTAGTATTAGTAGAAAGCTTATCGTGATTTTTTGTGATAAGAAAACCAATTTTTTTCCAAGTTGCAAAAGCTGATTTGAACTATTTGGCTTTTTAACACTTGTCTCAATGAAGGTTGGTCTGTAAAAATCTACTCCTGATTACAACTCGTTTTTCGTGTAACCAAGAAACAGGAAATAAGGCTGATAAAATAAATTATTCATTAATATTTTAATATTCTTATTCTCTCTCTCTTTTTAATAGATTAATAAAGAGAAAAAAATTTCTCTCTCAAATTAAATCTACTTTTCTGTAATCGAGGGATATAACTTTGAAACTGTTGACGTTAAAACAGATGCTTTGACTTGACGCGTTTTAACTTTATTTGCCTTTTTCAAAAATCATCTAAATATATAAGAAAATGGAAAAACTACAGTTATAACTGTCTATACAGCCGACTTATACTTACAGAAATAATCTTGTGTTCAGTTTAAAATAGAAAACGAATTATTTAAGAAACTAAAGCCTTGCATCGCCTTTTTATATGAAAATACGAAAGAAAAAAGAAATTTCTAGAACAAATTGGTTAAGGCTGCGAAATTTTTTGAAGAAGTCGTTAAATGGAAAGATAAAAGATACATTGTTTCAAGAATATAATGTTGACTAGTATCCAGACAATCTGCATGTCGTAAAGGAAAAATATATAATGTTTATATCTCTCTGCCGATCTGTAATGCTCGCCGCCCTAACAATGCATGAGAAATCAAACATAGAGCGAGGCTACAATCAAGGAGAAGTAGAGACTTTATTTGTCCGTATTAATGAAAGGTTTGATAGTTTCAATCCAGTATCTTTCACGATCCAATCGATGTTTTTCATTTATGTAATTAGTTTCTATGATAATTATTCTTAAATTGTCTAATGAATGATTTGCTAATGTAAAATGTTTAACATAATTTGTATCGTCTACATAATTATGACGAATGGACAGAGGGTCATTGATATACAATTAACATTGAGTGGTATAGTAAATATCTGATTTGTAACAGACGAGATAGACCATGTTTGATCAATTAGATGGTGACAAGCAGTACAACACATTGATTGACAACCAAATGGATGAACGTCTGGTATCGGTACCACATTTGTAAAAGATTGTGGCTATTGTGAACAAATCAATAGACGAGATAAATTTCGTGCACAAGTGTAAAAGCAACGATCGTTAGACGTTGATATAACAGCAAATTCTTGTTCCAATATTTTACGTAGTGATGGTAATTGTGTATGAAATGGAATAATAATATTAGCAAAATTATCAGTTTCTGCCACATATCTCTTTGGATGATTAATTAAGTCAAGGCGATTTAAGCATTTTTGTTTGTTGTTGCAAAATATTAGCTGAACGATGTCCACGTTTAATTAACCGGCAGAAAAAGTTATAATATCCGTACCATTTTGATGTATTTAATGAACAGGTACAAATATTACGATTTTATAGACTGAATGGGATATTATTAATAATATTGTGAGGATGAGATGATGTAAATTATTAATATTGGAAAGTATTTGGGGGTTAAACAAATAAAGTTCTTTCAATACGGCGTATAGTATGATCAATAATAATGTTAACGTCAAGAAATTGAATACTGGATTGACTAATCTCAAATGAGTATTTTAAATTAATATCCACGTTGTTTAATATGTGTAAGAAATTGTTAACAATGGATATATCATTACAAAGTACCAGTCTAAGGACGTCATCGAGAAACCGAAAATAACGAAGTAACACTAATGATGGAAACTTTAAATTCTATTAATGCTACAATTTCTTTACAAGAAACATAGATATTTGCATATGGTAAAGCACAAGCAGTGACCATAGCGGTACCTTTAATTTGTTTGAAATTATATCCTTTAAAAGTAAAGAAATTATTTTTCAGTACTAAATCTAGTAATAAATAGAATGTTGTCGTTGAAAGTGGGAATTCCAGTAGAAAACCATAATCTTGAATAAATTTTATTAACGTTCTAATTCCATCATCTTGTGGAATATTTGTATATAAAAAAGTAATATCACTAGTTATAAGGAATAGTTGTTTTAAATTCAAATTTTCATTTTAAATTTGTTTATTTAATAATTCTATTTCTTTTAACAAATGATTCGTTTGATTGATTTCGTTTCAACAAATGATTTTTATTTATTGCTTCACGGCCATTCCACGCGTACCAGCCAAAAAACGTAAGTCCGTTACCTTTTGTGAAAGTCATAGCTCTTCAGCCGAGCAACATACACAGTTGGGGAACGCCTTATTTTGTAGCTTAAAGATTTTTCTTTCAAATGGTAATTAAGCAAAGCCTAGCTCTACCCTAAGGACCTGCTCCTAATTCGTGCCAAAAAAAGCCACTTTGTACAAAAGTGGCGTGTAGCTAAAACATTATGTTACTTAAACTAATCGACTGGTAGACTTTGCTTAATTACCATTTGAAAAAAAAATCTTTAAGCTACAAAATAAGACGTTTCCCAATCCTGTACGTTGCTCGGCTGAAGAGTTATCTATCTCACAAAACGTCACGGACTTACGTAAAAGTGGACTTTTACGTGGAATGGCCGTTCAGCGTTTGATTATATAAATGCATTTGCTCTTGTGGATCCACTCTGAGTAATCACATTTTCTAGAGCAAAAGAACTATATAATGATTGAAACTAGATTACGAAAACTAGATACAATGGTAAGTGTGTTGCATAAATATTTATTCTGCGTGTCTTGAACCTGAACTAACGCGCTTCAGTTATTACATTAGAAAGAACGGTGGGTTGAAGATATGAAACATGTGGATTACCATGTGTATTACCATCCACTCGAAGATTCTCAAACTTGCGAATCGGAAGTGTTGAAACTGTTTCTGAAAGGTGTCACCAAACTTGTGTTTCTTTACACTGGTGTACGAATACTATCAACTGTGAACATCGTGTAGCTTTGGAAAAGAAGAATGTAGGAAACTTCTGTAGAAATCTTGCTAATTTTTAAAATAAAGTGCGTAATCGCTGTGCTACCATAAAAGATGAGAAACTACAGAGGTTACGAGAGTTATACAATATTAGCCTGTAGTTGTTCGATTATTCGAATTCAATTTCGGATGCTTAGACATAGAGTTAATATGTTTCAACACTGCTGCTTTATTGTTCGTGTATTCAATAATCCACTTGTGTGTCGGTGGCAACAATTCTAGGCCAACCTTAACAGCTAAATCAAAATTTTCTAAAGCTTTAGCGTGTTCATCCGTTTTGAAATACATCGCACCAATATTATTATGTACCGCTGATATGTCTGGAGGATAACGTCCATTATTTTCATTTAAAATTTTAAGTGCTTCAATGTAGCAGGTTAATGCCGTTGTATAGTCACCTCGTTTATAATGAATCAAACCTTTATTGTTAACCAAGATTGCAACTGACGATGAATGATCTGCTTGTAAAGATTTGGTTATACATTCAAGTGTTTCATTGTGACGTTTCAACGATGTAGCTGAAAAAAGGTCACTATTAGTGGTCGAACGTGCTAGATCATGGTTATAATTAGCTATATCGACATGTAATTTATTATCAGTGTTAGCATTTGTTTTATTCATTGAATCATTTTTTAAGGTGAAGAATTTAAGAATAGATAATAAGAGGTGAGGTAAGGTGGTGTTTGTCTTATTATCTGTTTTATTCATATTTTCGAAAAAGTTTTGTGCTTTCCGAAACCAATCTTCTGCTCCACAAAAATCTTTGTTTTCATAGCGTATAAAGCCAATATTATTATAAATCACTCCGATATCTTTATGATCTTTGGGTAGTTCGTCCAATAACAATCTATAGTGTTTCTCAGCTTTTTCATGCTGGCCGATTGCAGATAAAAAGTTTCCTAGAGTTAATAGGGTTGGTATTTCACCGATTTGTTTTTTCAAATATTCTGACAGTTCAATGCATCGTTCGTCATCTTCTTTACTTAATTCTAATTCTATATTCCATACTCCGTTTTCATTCAGCTTGACATTTAGAATACGCCATACGGTGCCGACAGAAAACAGGATTTCATCTTCATGTGGCATTGCACTATATTGTCGAATACTGGCGAATGGCTTTGTTGTGACACCATTTTTAACGTATAAATTGAATACAACGTGTTTCTGATCTGTCCGAAGCGAACAGTCAGTTCCTGCATATATGTCGCTTATTGCTGGGTTGGTAGTTGCAGAAAAAAATCCAATCATCGATACAAGTCCCTCAACGTTTTTCTTTAGATCTTCTAGGGTGTCTGTTGACAGAACTTTACCTCTAAAGAGTTTTGATGGCAATGACTGAGTTCTAACCGAGTTTAATGAACGTAACTCATTATGCAATTCCGAAATAATAAACCGAAACGTGTACAGATAATTCGCATCTTGTGTGCTTAAAGCCTTTGCTAATAAACGGTTTAGAAAACACTGACGACTATACCAATGAATTGCTGTACCTAATACGCCAATTCGATATGTCTTTTCAAATTCAGTAATATGCGTTTGTTCTGGATCATTCTCGTCGTAACACTTTCGACAATGTTCTAACATAATGCGTTTAGCCTTATCCGATAATGGCATACGAAGTAATATTTCAATGAGTAGCTGATACCGAATGAATGCAACAGATTCTTCACTAAGATTTCTTATTAAAGTATCTTTATCCTTATTCTTAAACAAGCTTAGCGGCCTCCTCTCTTCTTTGGTTGAAGGTAGCTGTTTTGGCACAGGAAGGTCCTTTTCTAGTTGTTCGAAAAGAAGGTTTTCATCAATATAGACTCGATCTTGAACTTTCGTATAAAACTCTTGTTTTACCCATTCGTCTAATTCAGTTGTATCTTCACAAGAAATATAAATGAATTGTATTTCTGTTCGATTGTGAATAAGAGAAATCATCGATTTAATAAAATTGATTTTAAATAATCGTGCAGATACAATCAAAAAGATTTGTTTGATTTCAATTTTTACTACGTAAGCAATGCATTCACAAATATCTTGAAGTGGTACTAAGTAATCAAAAAAAGATTTTAATCGACTATGTGTCGTACTATTGTCTTCAGATATTGAATGAAGCCATATACCAATAAATTCCTGTGTCACGGTATCATTTTTCGATAAGGTCGTTCTAAGTAGCAAAGAAGTGCTCATAAGCGGAATAACCAATATAATGCAATAGCTTTAGCACTAACCTTCCTGTGGGTATTCGCAGTAGTTTAGCCATTCGTTCATAAATAACCAGTTTTAAGCAAATAACCACAAGAAACGAATTACATCTAAAATAATAATACAGACGAAGTGAAGTTCTATTTCTTATCATAAAGTTACCACAAATTAAGTTCGCTGCGAGCTGCCAGGGCTTCATTTTGTCAGAATACGTCAAAAACCAAATAGAAAAATCCAAAAAAAGATACGGAGAACATCGTTCGCACTTGCATGTTTGAGTTCATATATATATATAATAAGCAAATTGACTTTACAGCCACAAGAGCATAGAATAAAAATAACGCATAAAACAATGAATAACATTACAAATAAAATTTTCAAGATTATTCATCCTCATTAATTTTTTTCCTTCTGAGCACTGTTGAGATATTAGTTAGATATCCTTTCACTGATGCGTGATCACTCGGAAAAATTTTTAGTGCAATCTGAAGAGCCTTTTCATAATTTTCTAACGCATTTTTATATTCACCTTTTCTAAAATATAAGCACCCAATATTATTGAAAGTGTCAGCTAGTTCGATAGACTCATAGTCAGGTAAACATTCTCGCTTACTTTCGAATGCTTCAAGAGCCTGCTCGAACTTGTTTTGCTCTAGAAGCGCACATCCCAAATTATGATAAGACATAGAGAGAGAGTTACTGTTGTTTGATGGAGGTTTTGACATGATGTCAACAGCTTCTTCAAGCGGCTGAAAGGCGCTAGAACAACTGTCACTAGGAGCTCCATGCAATTCTATTGCTTTGTCAAAATATTTAATTGCTATATCATAGTCATTCCTGGATTCATAGATGAGCCCAATGTTATTATTAATGATTGACATTGCCGTCTGATCCGCATCAAATTCTTCAAGCAATAATTTACAATAATCAATGGCTTTAGCAAACTCGCCTCGTTCGTGCCAAAAATTTCCTAGATTGTAAATTGTTAGCGATTTATCGAATTCACTTTTCACACCACTCATCAACGCATCTATTTCATGCACTTCTTTATTACTGAGTATTAATTTTATATGCCAAATTTTACTAAGTAATTGAACGACGTAATCGATTCGAAATACTGTACCCATACAAAATAATATTTCATCTTCTTCTCGACGATAACTTAAGTAACGAATATTAGCGAATGGTTTGTTGGCATTCATAGTTTTAATTTCAATTTCAAATAGAACTGACTCATAGAACGCACTGCAATATTTATCGCCAGCGTGCGAGAGAGCTAATTGACTGGAAAGTGATGTTGAGAAAAATGTATTGAATGATATAAATCCACCTACGTTAGATTTCAATTTCTTAAGTTCCATGGGATTCATTGATTGTCCACGATAGACCGTAAATGGATATTTGTAGTTTGTAGACGAACATGATTTGAGTAGTTGTTGATAAATGTCGACAATAAAATCACGAAACTGCAGCGTAGTTCTCATATTTTCCGTCCGTAACGCTGTATTCAACAGGTTTGCCAAGAAGCTAGGACGCGTATACCACAAGATCGCTTTATCGGATGTATACTCAATTTCAAACTCATCAATAGATTTCTGCGCTGTAGAATTGTCCTTATAAAAATGTCGACATTCTTCTAGCATTTTCGAATAAACTTTATTCGTAATTTTAGGTTGATACAGTAACACATCTGTCAGAAGTTGAAACCAAATAAATGTGGCTTGCTGTTGGTTTAATGAGTTGATTGATATTTCGACTACAGGTGTGGTAGATTGAAAGGTACTTGTTGAGAATTCTCCTTTGAAATCAAGAAAGTTATTAATTCGCTGTGTTAATCTGTTGTTAGTCATTTTGGTTACGTCCAAGAGAAGCTGTTGGAAAAGTTCATTTATGTTCACGAAAATATTGCTCGAGAGTTTAAAATACTGTTTAGTTAACTTTTGTTGACTTGTTTCACTTTTGTGCTGGAACCGATAAATTGCTACAATTTGTTTAAGATTATGTAAGAGCTCCAAAACAGACCTGTCAAATGGATCTGATATAATAAAAAAGATTTTGTCGTTTGGATTTGCCATTAAGTAGCCGATACAAATACATGGATCGGTATACGTTTTCACAGATAAATATTTGGTATTTGGTATTGAATATTCGTCCAAACCTATATTACCAAAACATACCACTGTCGATACTCCTTCAATTTCGCTTTCGGTGCTAGAAGTTTTGGTCATCATTGTCTGAGTAATCACATTTTCTAGAGCAAAAAAACTATATAATGATTGAAACTAGATTACGAAAACTAGATACAATTGTAAGTGTGTTGCATAAATACTTATTCTGCGTGTCTTGAACCTGAACTAACGCGCTTCAGTTATTACATTAGAAAGAACGGTGGGTTGAAGATATGAAACATATGTATTACCATCTTTTCTGCACAGGGTAAAAGCAATTGTGATTTATTTAAATCGATATCCTTATGCTTATCCTTCGATATCCGAAGTCTTTAGAGACTGGATTTCCAGCGAGCCCCTCGAAAACTCACCTAAAGCAGAAAAAAAGTTCACAGTCGTAATCAGCATCATGGATGATCTATAAAAAGATAAGTCTCAATCCAAAAACAATTTGACGGTTGGGGCTCATCCCCCGTCCGTGACTGAAGGTGTAAAGGGCTGAATATGTTTTCTCATTATGGCTATAGTTAGGCATGCACCCGTTATAGTTAACTGTAAAACGGTAACTGCTCATAACTGTAGGCAAATATTCTAGAGTGAGTTAGTCTTGTACGATTTGCATACATTTTAAGAATGTCTCTGTTCTTAAAACGTATGCAAATCGCAGAAGACTAATCACTCTAGAATATTATGAGTTATAAAAAATATTTGTTATATAAAGAAAAAATTATCCATCGTATATTGTCCATCAATACAATCCATCGAAATTGTGTTTTCAACACTTTTTTACCAGTTATCATTTCCATTAAAAACACAGCAAATATTTTTACGAATCATGGTTCTGTAAAACTGCTTTATTGCACCTTTATCACAAATCGCTGATAACATGTGCGAAAAAACAGAACAGAAAGAAAAACAGTAGTTTTTCTTTTATAAATTGTGTAAGAATATTACGGCTTGTCCAAACGTAACGGTGTTACGTTTTGGACGCACTAAAATGAGATTATCTCGGAAACTAAAACAGTTAAAAAGCTCATTTAAACGCCATTCGATGCAGCTCGTCGACCCCCATTTACGGTATAAAAACGAAATTTTTTACATGAAGTCTAGAATTTTGAGAACGGTTTTTGTAGGCCGTAACGGTGTTACGAAAAAAGACCCTTTTTCTCGAGTGCTATGAACAAAAACATGAATTCCGACAAAGGTAAAGGTCATAATGAAAAGTTTTTAGCACAGAGATTGTAGAGCACCAAGCGGGCTATCCGATGGTAAAAAAAGAATTTTTCCAACATCTTCAGTTAAGGCAAAAACATCAAAACATAAACGTAACGGTGTTACACACTATTTTTTGTCGAGTGTTTTCGAGGGACTTAATATGATCCGGAAATTTTGATATTATACAGATAATTATTCGTGCCACAGTCAGCCGATATACGCAAGAATAAAGTCGCTACCTCGGGTTGGAGGGTCAAAAACTGTAAATTAAGTCNAAAAATAGAAAATGCGATTTTTGAAATGTTCAAAAACCGGTTTTGAGACTTAAAAACCAATTTTTATCAAAAAAGCGTTTTAAACGGGTCCTTAGAATTAAAAATTACATCTAGCGATGTGTTCAAAATTTTCGAAAGCGAAAATTATTTTTTATAAACTTGATCAGCGAAGTGTCGCGTTACGTGGACAAGCCGATTAGCGGTTTTTCCTTCTTTTTTTAAGTTTTAGACGCAGAAGACTCGCTCAAAATCTCGCTTAGAACCTTGAAAAATTGTTTTCTGTAGGTTTGACGACGTGCTCTTTCATTTGGACAGATCAAGAAAATTTTTAGTGAAAATGATTTTTCGGTTGAAAAACCAAGATCTTTAAAATACGGGTCTTTAACTCGAAAGCGGGCAAAAACCATTGTGATATTCGGAATCAGCACGTTCGATTACCTATTGTCAACTGAGTTTAAGCTCAAAAGCGAGGAGGCAGTTGGTGGCCTTCCCTCGTTAGACTACCTTATAAAAAGCAAACAAAATCGAAAAAATTTATAATACGACAAAAAAAGCCTTTTTTCATAGAAGGGCTCGACATTGGAAAGGTGGAGTGTTCTTTTCCAGCTAGCAAGGAAAAAGACCGGCAAACATCCTACTAACTTGTGTGAAAAAAACAGATTTTACTAAAAAAACACTATCGGCTTGGTGAAGTTAAAGAGTAAAAATTTAGTTACTCATTCTAATTTACCGTTCAACATCGCAAATTTTGTGCTGAAAACAGTAGACAGCTACAGCTAGGTATGCACCAGTGGAACTTGCTTCGACACCATCTCAAAACGTTTATTTTTCTTTAAAGGCATTAGAGATGACTAAGCAGTGAT